CGCCATGTGGCCGCACCAGCTCTTCATGGTGATCGCCGCCGTCGCCCCCAAGCCGAAGGGGGGCGACAGGATCCTGGGCCTGCTCCCGTTCCTGCCCAAGTTGTGGAGCAAGATGAGAAGTGCTGACTCCCTGGACTGGACGGTGGCCATGGACGAGCATTGGGACACAGCGATCCGTGGCTCGTCTGCCCTGCAGGCTGCCTTGGTCCGATCTCTCCTCGATGAGACCTGCCAGGAGATGAAGATTTCATGTGCTACCTTGCTCCTGGACTTGGAAAAATTTTATGATAGTATTTCGATTGCCAAGATGTGTGCAGCAGGTATTCGCCAAGGTTTTCCTGCTCTCATCCTCGCGCTGGAGTTGCAGCTGTTCCTTGCCCCGCGGCACCTCAAGGACAGGCTCTGGCTGAGCAGGGCGATTCAACTTGAGAAGAGTCTAGTGGCAGGCTCGCTGCAGAGTGGACGCTTCGCGAAGGCGTTCATGGGCCCCATGCTGGACAGGGCCCACATCAACTACGGGCTCAGGATCCTACTCCGCACCTTCGTTGACGACACGGTGGTTCGGGCAGAGGGGACAGCGCACGAGGTCGGCTCGCTGATGATCGACTCCTGCACGTCCTTGGCCAGCGACTTCGTGGGCGCAGGGCTCAAGATAAGCCCGAAGACGGTGGTCGTTGCTTCGTCCTCGAGCTTGGCAGCCCGAATCACTGCCGGCCTGATCGATGTTGGCATCCCTGTGACACCTGTCCGCCACGCTGTGGACCTCGGTGCTGACACGACCTCGGGCCGATCACGGACCAGAACCAAGGCGAGGGAGCGCTTCATGAAGGCCAAGAAGCGCACCTCCGCCATCATGAGGATGAGGCGCCACGCCAGCCTCCGCGGCATCACCAAGGGCCTCTGGAGCATGGGGTCCAAGCCGCAGGGCACCTACACGCACCAGACGTTCGGGATCCCTGGCTACGAGCTGGTGCAGATCCGCCGCCAGGCCGCCCAGAGTGCCGTCGGCACGGGGCCTGGCCGATGTTTGACCACGTCGCTTGCCGCCGCCTTTGACCGACGAGACCCAGCGAAGGCACTTCGACGTGAGCAGGTCCTGGCATGGCTGCGATTGTGGCGAGAGTACCCAGAATATCACACACGTATTGCGAGATCGTGGGATAGCATCCGTAGCCGCCTACGATTAGCGGGTTCGCGAAGATGGAGAGTTTCGAAGGGCCCCATTGCAGCTACGATTTCAACCTTGCTCGACATTGGTTGGGACCCCGTCAGCCCGATGGTGTGGTCTTCGGATGAGCAGTTCGAGTGGCACATCCCGTCTGTGGCGTCCCCAGAGTTTGACAACTTCCACGGAGACTTCACGGACATCCTTGATGACATTGAGGCCACGATTGACAGACAGTTGTGGCGTGCGGCGGCCCTCCACGAAGCTGCCTCGGACCTCTCGGAGGGCGCGGACATGTACCACGTCTCCAGGGAGCTCAGCCGCCTCAAGCCAGACCTCGAGGGCGACAACTGGGCGTTGGACGTGGTGGTCGTCACGGGCGCCCAGTGGACTCGTGAGCGCTTGCGCGCGGCAGGCTACCGTATTGATGGCCTCTGCCCCCGCTGTTCCAAAGCCCCCGAGGATTTGTACCACCGAGTGTGGGCCTGCGAGGCCAATGTTGGCCATGAAGATTTCGAGAAGAGCCAGGTTTTGGCCGAGAAAGCCCGGGTGAACCATGAAAGCTGCCCGAGTTTTTGGCTCCGCGGGGTCCCTGGCCGGGCCGAAACGGTCCCGACCTTCGCGGATAAGCCTCCCATCCGAATTTCGTTTGGCACCCTTGCAGCCGTTCCCAGAGACGCCGAAGGTTTTGTGACCTTGTTTGGGGACGGGTCGGGTGGGGGGTTCTCGGACGACCCTCGGCGTCGAAGGGTCGGCTCGGGTCTGATCGGTCTCGCCCCCGAAGGGGCTGTCTGGCGTGCCGTCTGGGGTCTGGGCTGCAGCATCGAGGGCCGAAGACAGACCGTGCCGCGCGCTGAGATAACCGCCTTCGCCGAAGCCCTTGAATCCAGCGATGGCGACGTCCGTTTCGTTACTGACCATCGCCCCCTCCTGGACTCCTGGACCAAAGGCTGTGGGTCTGAGCCGCCGAGCAGCGGGGTGAATATAGACCTTTGGGCCAGGATCCAGGCCGCCAAGCGTGATCGTGGGCCTGGCCGAATAGAAATTGTACGGGTCCCCTCCCACCAAGAAGAGATGGGAGGACTCTCGCGTACGCAGTTGTTTTGCGCCTTCGGGAATGAATGCGCAGACGCCTTGGCCAGCGAAGCTGCCGAGCTTAGCTGGACTGAATTCGTGATTTCGCCCCCCCCCCAGACCGATGTTCGGGACTCCGAGGCCGCCCTGGTCCGTCGGAGGGCGCGGAGAGCCCTGGCAGCGAGCATCCAAGCCGATCCCTGGACCTGCGAGCGCCCTGGAATCGAGGGGGGGGCCCCGTTACCTAAGCTTGCCTGTGCCCTGCGTGACTCGGAGCATTCGTGGTCCCGTGCAGGGACGAAGTATATATGTAGGCGTTGCAATTTGTTCTCGAATCAGGATTCGATTTTCCAAATGTGTGCCTCCCGTTGCAGGCCCGAGCAGACGCCCGACTTCTCCCCCGTTCGTGCTGGCTTTCGGGTGTCGGGTAGAGAGCTCCATGGGTCGCACACTCTGCAGAAATGGGCTAAATATAATTTGGTTTTCTGCACGACTTGCGGCAAGTCGTGCACCACCGACCCGAGATGGTTGGTCTTGCGTTGTAATCCAACGGCCAAGGGCCGTCAGAATCTGGCGGCCATCAGGTCGGGGCGGTATCCGCACCCGTCGGGACCGCCAAGAGCGGTGAGAGAGGCGGAGTCACAAGGACTTGTTGGCCTCGGTGCAAGGAGGGGTGGAACGACCCTGACGACGTCGACGAGTGGTCGCGTTCCACCCCCCGAGGGAGTGGCTCAAGTTGCCACTTCCGAGGGTTAAAGCTGAGGCCTCAGTTTTAACCCTCAAGCGGGCCAGGTCACCGAAGGCCATGGCGCCGTTTGTGGACGTACGCTGTCCTTTCATCTGATCGCTCCTGATCGCTCCTCCTCCTCCTCCTCCTCCTCCTCTTTAGTTGCTGGACCTGGGCCAACGTGCTCGCTTCGTCCGCTGTCGAGGTTTTCTCAGATTGTAGCAACGTGGTGAAGCTTGCTGGTCGGCCTTGCGACGAGCAGCTGAGCGGTAAGATGGCCTACTCGGGGGCGTTCCTGCAGCTCTACGCTCAAGGTGTGCGGCCAGCCAATTGCACCAGGGTCGCAGCTCACAAGGAGCTGGACGAGGCGGGAATCGACCCTGCCGAGCGCTGGAGGCGCTTCGGCAACCATCACGCCGATGCGGCCGCTAAGCACGGGGTCCACCTCCACCCTGCATGTCCAGACAAGCTTGCTGCTGCCGACAAGCTTGTCGCCCACGCGCGCCAGACCATTCGTTTGGCCGCGCATGTGCTGCATCTGTGGCCTGCCTTGGACCTCTCCGAGGCGGCTCGTGTCCCTTTTGTGCCCTCTGCCGCGGCCGCGCCTGCAGGACACCGCTGGGAGTCATGGGCGGGAGTCTGGCGCTGCGCGGTCTGCCTTAGAGGCCGACGCTCGGCGGAGAAGCCTCCGCCTGGCGTCTGCCCGATGGATTCAGCCTTGCACGCCTCTCGCCAGGACGCCCTCGAGCATCGAACGATCGCGTTCGACTGCTCCGACGGCTCCGTTCTTGTCATTTGAGCGCGTTGCAAGGCTCATTCCAGCGGAGCGATGGTCCGCGGTTTGGGCGCCAAGTGCCAGCCTCCTCCTTCGCGCGCCGTAAGGTACGGCTGGGACGCTCTGTGCAAAGGTCCGCACCCCCATTATAGGCAGCAAAAGGCGGTAGTTAGTGTAGACACTGGCAACCTCATGCACTGTTTCAACACGTATGCCTGACGCAATGTTTTCGGCCCCCTGCTCGTCATCTTAGCAGGTGGGCGACTGGTCCTCTCAGTGAGGTCTTCCTCCTCCTCCTCCTCCTCTTCCTACTCGTCCTCCTCCTCCTCCTCCTCCTCCTCCTCCTCCTCCTCCTCTTCCTCCTCCGCGCAGCCGCGCGGCCCGCCCCTCGCAGCCCGCCCCCCGAAGCCCGCCCCCCTCGCCTGCGCCGCAGGCCGCCGGCCGCCGCGCGGCGTCGCCGGGCGCGGCGAGCCGCTGAGGCCCGAAGGGGCCGCCCGGGGCTGAGGCGGCAACGCGCAGGGGGGTAGGGGGAGGGGGGGAGGCTTCTTAGAAGCACCCCTGCTTCTTAGAAGGCGCAGGCCTTCTCTATAGACGCAAGGCCGAGGCCTTCTAAGAAGCAGGGTGCTTCTAAGAAGCCTTCCCCCCTCCCCCTTACCCCCTTTTTTTGCGCGCCGCCAACTGAGGCCGCGAAAGGGGGGGATTGGGAAAGGGGGGGGGGTCGAAATTTGCTGCATGCAGCTGGTTTCGGCCCCACCGAAGGGGCCCCTCCCTCGATGCACAGCCGCCTCCTGCGCCTCCCGGCGCCGGGAAAATCAGCCATGTGAGCTGATTCTGAACCCCCCCTTTGCTATCCCCCCCTTTCGCCCGACCCGAGCTGAGGCCGGCGGCGGCCCGCGGGCGCTCGGCGCGCGGGCGCTGCGCAATTCAAGCAGTGGCGGAGCGTCCCGGCTCGCCTCGTGGTGTGCACGAAATGTTCGGGGGCGGAAAAGAGGGGGGTGAGGACTAGGGGGGGGTGGATTTCATGGCGCCGGCCATGATTTTTCCTCAGATTTCATGGCGCCCCTTCTTATTTCATTACGTCCCTGGCCCCCCCGCTGGGCCGCGCACGTGCCGCCGGTCATGATTTGCACCCCCCCCCTCTTGGACCCCCCCCTCTTGGCCGCTCCCGAAATGTTCTTAGAACATTGCTGGTTGAGATTATCTTGGTTTAGCACGTCGGGCTAATGTTCTGAGAGCAATGCTTTTGTTCTTGGAATATTTCTGGGTTCTAAAAACATTTCGTGGTAGGACTATAGGAATGCCGGGACGGTCGGTCCCTGCTCAAGCAATGCCCAGACCCCCTTCCCAGACATGTTCGCGTCGTAAAAGATCAGGACGGCAGGTTTGTTGCTATTTTCGGCCTCCGGGGGCCCTCGCCGGGCCTCGGGGCCGTAAAAAAACGACTCGGGATGAGACACCGGTCCCGGGGAAGGGGTCGGGACTTCCAGGGACCCCGTCCTGAAAAAATCCGGACGTCGCATGTCTGGGTTCGCGTCGTGAAGCAAACGTCGCGAGGAGGGGGGGGGGGGCTCCTCCCCCCTGCTGGGCGGGCGCGTGTGCTTTTTGTTGACACCGGCTGGGCGCCACTTGTGCAGCCGCTCGCTCCGTCCCCGCCCTCCCTCGGCACATGGGAGCCCAGAGACGTGTTGACAAAACTCAAGCCGGACGTTTTTCCTCGTTTTCGGCCTCTGCTCAAGCAGTGCCCAGACCCCCTTCCCAGACATGTTCGCGTCGTTAAAAAAATCCGGACGGCAGGTTTTTTACTATGTTCGGCCTCCGGGGGCCCTCGCCGGGCCCCCGGACCGTCAGAAAAAAACTCGGGATGCAACACCGGTCCTGGGGAATGGGTGGACCTTTCCGGGGGCCCCGCATTGAACAAATCACGACATCGGATCTCTGGGTCTCCCTCCGCTTCGCGCGGGAAGGGGGCGAGCCTGCCCGCCCGGGGGCCCGGGCAAGCAGAAGTGCAGTCGAGACCGATAGCAAAAGGATGGGTCACCTTCCCAGGTGTACCCTTTGCGCCCTTGCCTCCTCGGTCCGTCCGTAACTCGACGAAGAAAAAACGCCATAGGCAGAAACTTGCGGCGCTCCGCGCGGATTTCTTGGATCCGCGCTTGGCACCCCAGGCGGCGCCTCCGGCGCCGCCCCTGGCGCGCTCCGCGCACCAGGGAGGGGGGGTCCAGCGCGGATCCAAGAAATTCGCGCGGAGCGCCAAAACATCATGCTTATGGCGTGCATACGTCTTCAATGAACGCTCTTCGCTGGCCAGCCCCGCTCGAAAGCCTTGCGTCCTCACCGCGCTTCCTTCTGTCAGGAGAGGAAAAAACACAGACACAATTAATCGTCGATTCCCAGGAAAATATAGGAAAATATGGGAAGTGGGCGGGAAGACAAAAACCCAGAAAATATGAGAAAATATGGGGAATCTGTTTATTTGTGTGTATTTATTTGTGTGTCCTGGGGCCCCTTCATTCTGATCAGTTTTGACTATAGCATGAAAATAACGTTTCGAAGGTTCGCGAGGATCTCTTGGATCTGCGCGGCATCACCCCGGCGGTGCCTCGGGCGCCGCCCCTGGCGTGTTTCGCGCGACAAGGAGGGGTCTCAGCGCCGATCCAAGCAGTTGACGTGGAGCTCCGAAAATTCATGTCTATGCAGTTGTCCGGTTTGTTTTTTGGGTATGAAGTCGTTTTTTTTTTTTTTTTTTTTTGAACGCCTCTGAGGGGGTAGACACCGCCGCCCTGTTTTGTTGGACACGTGGAGACTCTGAGAGGCTTGGTGCAGGACGAGGAGGTCAATGTCAATGGTCGCAGGGGGCGAGAGGAGGGGTCCATGACGGCCCCTCCCAAACGTCAGAAGTGGCCCAGGGGGGCCCCAAGAGGCGCCGAAGACCGGATCCAACTGGCACCCGAAGGTGTCGAAAACGGCGGGCGAAACCGAAGAGGGATACGGAGAGGTAGAAAAGAGCTACGCGAATTATTTTTGGGGGTGGGCTCAGAAGGCCTTCCGGGGACCCCCTGGGCGCGCCCAAGACGTTTCACGAAGGTTCCAAAAGGGCGGCCAAACGGCCCAAGATAAGACCCAGGTGTTAAGGCCCAGTCGCACGACCACCCCCCGCTCCTTGAGTTTCGTTCAGTGCGTCGCCCGTGCGCCGGCCCTGGTTTTCGTCTCTGTTCCGCATCCCGGCCTCCCACAGTGCGCGGGCGACATGTGGCGCGACTTCGGATTTCCGCTGGCGACGTGTGTATGTTCCCGACGATGGCGCAACAGCAGCCAGTCTGGCGGTCGTGGCGCACGCATAGTTCGACGGTCCGCCAACGCGCTGTGTTCCCCACTCGGCACAAAAAGGATCCGCCCGCCCTTCCCCCGCCTCACTTCCCTCTTCTTTCTCCCCAAGTCACCAAGTTGTTGCAGTGACGAATCGATGTTCAAATTCAAACGGGGCGCGCGCGCTTGAAATCGATTCTTCCGCGCGCGCGCGCTGCATCTCCATGTCGTCTACTGGTCTTTTCGTGTTCGCAGTTCTCACGTGCGTGTTTTGCTCTTGTTGTGATTGTCGCGCGCATTCCTGGATTGTTTCGCAAGCAGGCCGCGCAGTTCACGTGCTGTCAGAAGTCCACGGCGCCCTTCGATCGATTCGCGCGCGACCTGCGCGCGACGCACAAACGACTCGAGCGACGCACCCGCGACGCGCGCGCAATGCGCGCGCGACACGCGCGCGGCGCACCCTGACCCGCGCGCACGCGCCTCCGCCAGCGCGCGACGCCCGAGCGATCCGCGCGACGCACGCGCCGCGCGCCCGAAGCAAACGTGACGCACGCGCGACGCATGCGCGACGCATGCGCAGCGGCTGTCGGTCCGACGTGCGCGCGCTGTTCACAGGTGGCGGCGGCTGCGTCATCACTTGCGCCAGGAAGGGCGGTGCTTCGCCCCTCTTCCTTCCCTTTTCCCTTTCCTCGTCGCCCCTCCTCCTTCGTCACTCCTCCTCCTTCGTCATCACCCCTGCCTCGTCTCCCTCTCCCCCTTTCTCCTCATCCTTTTTCCCCGCCTCCTTCTGCCCCCCCTCCTCCCGCCTCCCTCGTCTTTGTTTTATATTCCCCTTGCCATCCCCTGCCCCTCTTCATTTTCGTTTTTCTCCTTCGCCCCCGCCCCCCCGCGGCCGCGGCGTGGGGCCGCGAAAGGTGCCCCCGCCTTCTGTGAATGGCCCCGCCAGTGGCGGTGGAAAATATAAGGATCATGAGGAGGGGGGTGGGGGGTGGGGGCAGGGGCGCGAGGCGAGCGCGGCAGCAAGGGCGGCCCGGCAGGGGAAACGGGGGGGGCAGGGGGGATAACGCAGTGATTGGGTGCTTTTGTGATGGTCATGTTGGTGATCATGGGCGCGGTCGCGATTGTCGCCTTGGTCGTGCTGGCGGCGGTCGCGCTGTTGGTGGTGGGCGGGCCGGTGGTGGTCACGTTGGTGATCGTGTTGGTGTCGGTCTTTGTGGTTGTCGCGAGGAGCGCGGTGGTCGTGGTGGTGGTGGTGGCGGTAAATGGTGGCGGTCAATATCGTCGCGGTGGACGCGGTTGCGGTCGCGGCCGTTTGTCATGATCGTGGCGGTGGTAGTCATGGTGCTGGCGGCGGTCGCGGCGGCCGTGGCGGCCGTGGCGGCGGCAGCGAGGAACCGCCTAGAGCCCTAGTGCCCGAGTGCGTTTAGCAGCGTCGCGGAAGTTTTATCTTAGCCGGCCGCTCTGCGGTTGATCGGGAGTTTCTGTATACAGAAGAACGTGTGTGCGCTTGTTGGCGAGGGTCAGGATGAGGTTCCTCCTCCTCCTCCTCCTCCTCCTCCTCCTCGTCCTCCTCCTCCTCCTCCTCCTCCTCCTCCTCCTCCAGCCTTCTCTTGCCTCCGTCTGTCCTCCTCCACCCCACAGCTCCATCATCTCCTCCTCCTCCTCCTCCTCCTCCTCCTCCTCCTCCTCCTCCTCCTCCTCCTCCTCCTCCTCCTCCTCCTCCTCCTCCTCCTCCTCCTCCTCATTCCTCCTCTGGGCACCTCCCCCGGGGCGCGGATCCACCGGATCTGTCCGGATCTGTCCGGAAACGGTGCCGGAGGCCGCTCTGGGCTCCTCTGGGCACCTCCCCCGGGGCCGGTTTTGTGAGGATGTCTCAAGCGAGGGCGCCGGTTTGGGATTCGTCCGCGGATCTTCCGGATCCAGCGGATCTGTCCGGAAACGGTGCCGGAGGCCGCTCTGGGCTCCACTTCGAGAATGGTGGTTCTTATGCTAGTTGCACCATAGGTACAGCTAGGTATAATATACTTATAGCAAGGGATAAGTACCTAAGTATTTCTAACTATTTCTATGTGCCCTTAAGTATTTGTCTTGTCGCATAACTATACTTGGGTTAGTTATAAGTATTTCGCTGATTATTAATGACGCTGGAAGATACTTATAACTACCGCTAAGTTACTTACCCGTGCTGATATGCAATACTTATAAGTAACATATATGTTACTTATAAGTAACTTATAACTTCCTTCCATCCCTCCTTCGCTTCTCTTCCCCTCCCGCCGCGCGCCCGCCCGCCGCGCCGCAGGGACGTCGCGGCCCGCGGCCCCCACGCAAAGGAGGACGAGGAGGAGGGCGAGGATGAGGACGAGGAGGAGGAGGAGGAGGGGGAGGAGGGATGAGGAGGAGGAGGTGGATGTAGTTTTCAGGAACGATTTTCGGATTTGGGGAAATCTTTTTTTGGATTTGGTGAGGTTTTCTGGATTTGGGGAGGTTACCTGGATTTGAAGAGGTTTTTCAGGATTTGGGATTTGCCCATCGACCTGGAGCTCGTCGCGGCGCCGCCTGGTGGGTGCTCGCCGCGGTAGCGATGGCGATCGCTTGGGTGGGGAGGAGGGGGATGGGGAAGGTAGCGATGTCGATCGCTTGGATGGGGAGGAGGAGGAGAAGCGATGGCGATCGCTTGGGTGAGGAGGAGGGGGATGAGGAAGGTAGCGATGGCGATCGCTTGGAGGAGGAGGAGGAGGAGGAGGAGGAGGAGGAGGAGGAGAAGCGATGGCGATCGCTGGGGGAGGTGAAGCGATGTCGATCGCTTGGAAGGAGGAGGATGAGGACGGGAAGGAGGAAGAGAAGCGATGGTGATCGCTTGGGGGAGGGCGGGGTGGGGGGAAGAGGACGAGGGGATAGCGATTACGATCGCTGGTCTTTTGTTTTCGCGCTTGCGGGCGCGCGGCGCGCTCCGCGCTTGCGGGCGCGCGGCCTCACCGCGGAGGCGGAGTCGACGGCGGCGGCATTTGCGCCTTCGCCGCCGCTGGCGCCGCTGGCGGCGCTGGCGGCGCCTTCGCCGCCGCTGGCGCTTTCGCCGCGGCGCGCGCCGCCGTGGCCTTCGCCGCCTTCGCCGCCGCCTTCGCCTTCGCCGCCGCCCCCTTCTCCTTCTTCTCCTTTTTCTCCTTCTTCTTCTTCTTCTTCTTCTTCTTCTTTTCCGCCTTCTCCGCCCTCAGCTGCGCATTTTCCGCCTGAAGGCGCGCCTGCTCCTCCCTCCGCAGCAGCTGCGCCCCCATGCGCCTCCTTCCTCAGCTGCGCGTTCTCCGCCTTCAGCTCCGCCTCCCGCCGCAGCGCCGCGTCCCTCTCGCCGATC